TATATGTATATCTGTATGTGTATATATATGAATATGAATATGTGTACGTATATGCATATATGTAATACATTCTTTTAAAATAACGAACATATACATTAAAAGTCAGTGAAAGTTTCATAAAGTAAGATATTTAAAAAACAAGCGAATAATCACGAAGAGGTGTTGAACGAGTCCTTTTGACCCAGCGAATGCATTATGTAAAAAGCCTGATCGTTACTCGCTACGAGTACATTTACCGTTAACAAGAACACAAAAATAAGATACGCGTGCAAGGTCTTACGCGTGGAATATTCGTTTTTATATGGAAAAACGTTTCTTGCGTGTATCTCTCTTTAAGCGGTTATATAATCAGCATCGAAGGAATTATTACTTCCTCGTTCTTCGCGAATTTTTCGTAACGAAATGTGACTGCGATCCATGAGAAACTATCTAAAACGCGTACAGAGAAATAATACAGAAGATGAAGTACGTGACTCGATCGTTTGAATGGCGAAGTACGAGTTGCTGTAACGAGCAAATCCAACGTTTATTTCGCTATCAAAATGTATTTAATATTGAGAAATTTCTAGCTACGCTGTAATACGTTTATTGTGACAATAAAATTCATAATTTTAATCCTACAGAATTTTATTTAGCGTTATTCCTTGTAGTGGCAACGAATTTCATTTTGGCAGTAAAACTATGCTTCGTGCAATTTTCTGCTGTTCTACTTTATTCTCAAATCAGATATTAAGTCAGATCAAACCATATTAAATCAAGTATCCAATCAGTTCAAATCAGATATCAATTCAAATTAGCTGAATTCAGATATCAAGTTTAATATCAAACCACATCAAATCAAGTATCACATCAGTTCAAATCAGGTATCAAATCAAATCAGCTGAAATCAGATATCAAGTTAGATTAAACTAGATATCAAACCATATCAAATCAAGTATCAAATCAGTTCAAATCAGGTATCAAATCAAATCAGCTGAAACCAGATATTAAATCAAATCAAACCAGATATCAAACCACATCAAATCAAATCAGCTGAAATCAGATATCAAATCTCATATCAAACCACACCAAATCCAGTATCAAACCAGTTCAAATTAGATATTAAATCTAATATCGAACCAGATCAGATCAAGTATCAAACCAGATCAAATCAGGTATGAATCACATCACCTCATATTAGATATTAAATCAGATATCATATCATATCAAACCAGTTCAGATCAGGTATCAAATAAAATTTAGCTGAAATCAGATATCAAATCAGATATTATATCAAGTCACATCAGATATTAAATCACATCAAACCAGATGAATCCAGATCAACTCAGATCAAACCAGATCAAATCAAATATCAAATTACACCAAATAACATTAAATCTAACCCTATCAAATTCAATAAAATAATATATTAACTTATATCAATAGTCTTTCCCAAATAAACCACTCTCTCACATTGTCAACACTCACTATATCGCCCTAGTAAATATTCCACCCTTTACCTGTTCCCCCCTCTTCCCTCCAATTTATATGTACGTCCAATCCTCACCATTCCGGTGTTAATTAACTCAATAAAAATTCCCGTCCGCTGACAAGGAACGCTTTGCAACAAGATACTTTTTCAGCCTACAAAATGTAACGTAACACGACAGGATTAATGAAACATCGGAACACCGATGTAATCGCGCGATCCACGTAATAAAACATATTTAGATTATGGCAGCTTCAATAACGCAACATACGCGACCATCTTTCCATCGTCGAGCTACTAAATTACGACGCAGCTAATCTATACCATTATATAATACAAAGTGGTTAATTAGACCGGCGATGCAATTAAACCGTAGAATCTACCACCGATTCGATGATAAACTAAAGTAATCTCCAACACTTATCGGGTCATTCGAGCAGAAACGAGTCCCGACCAGCTGATATCGGATGTTAAGGGTGTCCACATAGGAGCTGTAAAGCATAACAGGCATTTTCTTCATTCGCTGGATGTGATCGGTAATCGATGTTGTAATCGATTCCTCTTCCTTTACATGCTGTATTTATATCGACGTTAACGTACGAGTTATTGCAGTCTTGTTTAATACATGAACAAATTGAGCAGATGGAAATTCAAGGCGGAGTGTAATTATGGGTTAAAAATGAAGTGGATGGGGCACTTGGAGGACTTGAGTTTGGTTTGTTATGGAGATGTGTAAATTGGAGAAGACTTTCAGTTAAAGAGGTTTAAGTGATCGAAATATCGAATTAATTACATGACACGTGATCATTTTAATAATTAGTGTTTAACACTGATCAACAGAAAGGTATTACTTAAGGGAATTATATGGTGGGACAAAATTTAACTTTGCTAACTTTGACAATTATAAAATTTGTGAATTTGAGAATTGTTCAATTTTGAAACTTCACATTTCTAAAATCAGTGAATTTTGAAAATTTTAAGATCTGTGAATTTTGTCTGTATAAGAAAATGTCTGTACAAGACTATCAGATCGATCAAACAAATCCCGTAAACCACCAAAAGAAACCGCTTCCTGTACAATTATCAAGCACACACAACGCAGTCGTAATCAATTTCTCACGCAAGCAAGTGCATCCATCAGTAGACTGCTGTCCGATCACGATTTCACATCGTCGGCCATCAGCGTTTCGCATCGAGAGGAAAATCGTCGTCGCAGCGGGAAATCCTTTCGCGAAACCGTAGACATTTCCGGTTCCGCGCAGGAAAAATAAGGGGTTCCAAAAACGGATCACGTGGATAAGGATATTAGTGCTGAAAATAAGGATATTGGGAAGTGTTTGGGAATTTGGAGATTTTGGAGATTTGGGGATTTGGAGATTTGGAGATTTGGAGATTTGGAGATTTGGAGATTTATTGGGGATTTAGGGATTGGGGATTTAGGGATTGGGGATTTAGGGATTGGGGATTTAGGGATTGGGGATTTAGGGATTGGGGATTTAGGGATTGGGGATTTAGGGATTGGGGATTTAGGGATTGGGGATTTAGGGATTGGGGATTTAGGGATTGGGGATTTAGGGATTGGGGATTTAGGGATTGGGGATTTAGGGATTGGGGATTTAGGGATTGGGGATTTAGGGATTGGGGATTTAGGGATTGGGGATTTAGGGATTGGGGATTTAGGGATTGGGGATTTAGGGATTGGGGATTTAGGGATTGGGGATTTAGGGATTGGGGATTTAGGGATTGGGGATTTAGGGATTGGGGATTTAGGGATTGGGGATTTAGGGATTGGGGATTTAGGGATTGGGGATTTAGGGATTGGGGATTTAGGGATTGGGGATTTAGGGATTGGGGATTTAGGGATTGGGGATTTAGGGATTGGGGATTTAGGGATTGGGGATTTAGGGATTGGGGATTTAGGGATTGGGGATTTAGGGATTGGGGATTTAGGGATTGGGGATTTAGGGATTGGGGATTTAGGGATTGGGGATTTAGGGATTGGGGATTTAGGGATTGGGGATTTAGGGATTGGGGATTTAGGGATTGGGGATTTAGGGATTGGGGATTTAGGGATTGGGGATTTAGGGATTGGGGATTTAGGGATTGGGGATTTAGGGATTGGGGATTTAGGGATTGGGGATTTAGGGATTGGGGATTTAGGGATTGGGGATTTAGGGATTGGGGATTTAGGGATTGGGGATTTAGGGATTGGGGATTTAGGGATTGGGGATTTAGGGATTGGGGATTTAGGGATTGGGGATTTAGGGATTGGGGATTTAGGGATTGGGGATTTAGGGATTGGGGATTTAGGGATTGGGGATTTAGGGATTGGGGATTTAGGGATTGGGGATTTAGGGATTGGGGATTTAGGGATTGGGGATTTAGGGATTGGGGATTTAGGGATTGGGGATTTAGGGATTGGGGATTTAGGGATTGGGGATTTAGGGATTGGGGATTTAGGGATTGGGGATTTAGGGATTGGGGATTTAGGGATTGGGGATTTAGGGATTGGGGATTTAGGGATTGGGGATTTAGGGATTGGGGATTTAGGGATTGGGGATTTAGGGATTGGGGGTTTAGGGATTGGGGATTTAGGGATTGGGGATTTAGGGATTGGAGATTTAGGGATTGGGAATTTAGGGATTGGGGATTTAAGGATTGAGATTTAGGGATTGGGGATGTAGCGATTGGGGATTTAGGGATTGGGGATTCAGGGATTTGGAGAATTGGGGATTTGGTGATTTAGGCATTTGGAGAATTGGGAATTTATAGATTTAGGCATTTGGAGAATTGGGAATTTATAGATTTAGGTATTTGGAGAATTGGAAATTTATAGATTTAGGTATTTGGAGAATTGGGAATTTAGAGATTTAGGTATTTGAAGATATAAGAATTTGGAGATCAGGAAATTTGAGAATTTCAGACCATGGGTATTTGTATATCTACAAACTTAGGAATTCTGCAACTTAATAATTACAGGACTCAAGTATTATGAAATTCAATTCTTAAGAAATATCTTTGAACGTGATAAATTCTATATTCCACAATTTATAGAATCCTGATCTAATTACCAATATATACTTGATTAACTACCAATGTATGTCTCACAGTCTTCCAATATATACCTACTTAACTACTAACATACATCTAACTATCAATACACATTTGCCTAACTACAAATACATATTTACCAAACTACCAATACATATTTGACCAATATACATTTCATGGATCACCCGGCTCTAAAAATCAAAACCTAAAAAATTCGCAAATTTAGACATACATAGACTTCAGAGTCTCGCAGTTCCCATCGGGAAATATGGACCGCGCTTCCGGTTCCGCCAGCTGAAAAGCAGAGGGTCCTCGTCGGTCACATAGAAAGGGAGTGGAAGGAAAAGCAGGCAGCGTTGATCCTCGCGTGCTCCGAGTCTGCGCGATACAGTTTATTTTCTGGCGTCCGTGGTGGGGAACCGGTGGGGACGCGGCGCGTCGCGTCCTCGCGAGCTTTTAGTCGCACGATCTCGTCCGGAGCGTCGGGACGCTCCACGTCGTGGCCCTTTAATCCCGGATCGATCGATGGATCCGCTGTATTCCTGTAGTTCGATCCTTCGAGAAGTCGACCGGTCAGGCCGTCGTCGATCCCTGATGGAAACCGGTCGGGAGGATCGATAGTGAAAGTTTCGATCGTCCGGGGTCATGGTTGTCGCGAGTTCGGTGCAGGTGAACCGCGTGAGTGACATTCGTGCATCTGAGGCCACAGCTGGTCCCTGCTGGTACCAGTGATCTAAGGTGGGTGTGCAATGTGTCTTTTTTTATTTTTATTTCTCTCTGATTCGTGGTGGTGCACGAGTGGAATGGTGCGCGAACAGATCGTAACGATTGGGATGGGAACCAGCCGCTGTGCACGATGGTGTACTTATGGCCGGTATCCGCCTTGGGTAAGCTAAGGAATCGATCGACCACCGTGTTCTTTTGTACCGGCTAACGTTTATTCGAGATGTAGGCTCGTGTTCTTGGGACGTGGAAAGGCGCGGGTTACTTGATTGTGTGGAATTTGTTGGGCGCAGGAGTTCGATTGAGAATATGCACTATCCGGGATCTCGTAAGTGCCTGGGATACTCTGGCCATTCCTTATTAAAACGTTTCGTTCTACTAATCGTTATATACACTTCAGTTTTACAATTCGATTATATACAATTTTGGTTAGGTGAACATTTTTTGGTTAGGTAGAAGTTTTTTTTGGCTTTCGCGTTTTTTGATGATGGATCAGGTGGTTTTGATGTTGAGGACTGTACTGAATGTACTGAAGGTGCTGATTTATGTAGTATATTGATGGTATTTATTTGAATATTGGCAATGGAACTATTGATTTAACTGGTTTGAAAGTACTAGTTTAAATACTTCACTACTAACATAATTCACTACTAGTACTCATTTAGATGTTGGTCTAGAAGTACTGATTTATATACTGTGCTAATGGTATTTATTTAAATAGTGGCAACGAAAGTACTAATTCAGGCACTTGTTTGAAAGTACTGATTTAAATACTTCACTACTAGTACTGATTTAGGTGCTGGTTTGAAAGTACTAACTTAAATACTTCACTACTAGTACTGATTTAGGTATTGGTCTAAAAGTACTGATTTAGGTACTGGTTTGAAAGTACTGATTTAAATACTTCACTACTAGTACTGATTTAGGTGCTGGTTTGAAAGTACTAACTTAAATACTTCACTACTAGTACTGATTTAGGTATTGGTCTAAAAGTACTGATTTAGGTACTGGTTTGAAAGTACTAACTTAAATACTTTACTAGTAGTACTGATTTACGTACTACCCTGAAAGTATTTATTTGAGAACTGTATTGGAAGTGTAGATTTGTATACTGCTCTCAAGGTATTTATTTGAGTACTGCACTTGAAGTACTGATTTAAAAACTGTACTCAAGATACTAATTTGAACACTACATTAAAAGTACTGTTTTGAGTACTACACAGAAAGTATTTGTTCAAGTACTGTTTTGAAAGCACTGATTTAAGTACTGCACTGTACAGTTCATTTAACTTTTAAGCCATCAGAGATCCACTGCTGGATATTAAGAATCTATTCATTCAAGAATATCTCATTATCTATCAATCCTACAGCAAAAATGCTTATCACCAAATTTGTAGCTTAGAAAATTTTTCATAAAAAAAGTTCTATAGTCTTTTTTCATAGAAGTAATCATTCTTCATTTATGATGCTAATACAAGCATGTAATCTCCACATCTTTGTTTTGGACACTCTTTGAACTAGAGTACTGACTACGTTCCTTTGAATTAATTATAAATTTAGTAGAATCTGCATAGTCTTCATAATCTACATAGTCTCTGTGAAAGTCTTCGTAACTATTCATAACGTGTTCTTGAGTTGAATTGATGTATTGAGGCAAGACTATATTAATAATCACATGTGGTTGCAAAATGCAAATTATCCTACAGTCTAACTTATGAACTAAGTACAAAGAAATGTTAATAAGCAAAATATCCGTTGATAGAGCAGATTTTAACAAGGTTATAATCGGGTCTAATATCATTTCTCATTAACCATTCTTAGGTTCCAGGATTAAGTTCACAATTATCCTCATTTGCATGTTTACCTGATATTATCTCAGAAACTATTAGTTCTACGAAGAAAATTTATAGAACCTTTTCTATAGAGAATTACCTGAACTACAAATTTTGTAATACCTCTTTTTGTCGTAAAATTGATAGTTCACAAGATATTAACCAAAAACTGTTGTATATTTATGTTGACCTTCCTATACGATCTTTGGCACAGCTTACACCTCATTTGCGAGTTTACCTGATATCTCAGAAAATATTAGTTCTATAAAGAAAATGTATAGAACCTTTTTTATAGAGAATTATCTGAACTACAATTTTTGTAATACCTTCTTTTATCGTAAAACCGATAGTTTTAAACATAATTCTACTCATAGTATATTCCAATAAAAAATTTCAGAAAAACCTATTATAATCAAATTTATTAACTAAAAACGAACAGACAAAAGTCATATCGATACATCCGTTAGATCTGATAAATTTTACTACCCTCTCTTTTGAGCTACGCTAATAAATTTACAGTTGCAATGAATTTCAAGATTTCCTACAATGTCATTAACATATAGCGGACATAAAAAGTGCAGTTAAAGAAATGTATATTTTATAGCATGAAATATAACGGAACGAACAAACGCTCATTTCTCCCCCACTCTAAAATTTAATATTCGTTCCATCTCTCTTACACTTGAATTTTTACGAGGACAAAAAAGAAACGAGCAACATGTCCGTTTATTTCAGTGTAAACGCATCGTAATAGCGTAAGTCTCTCAGGCGCAGCGTGAGGCTATCTAGAAGTAACGATTATTTCAATGACTCTATTCATTGCTCACATTGAGGCACTAAAAATCTATGAAAAATTTTACACTGAAGCCCGTTTCTTTTATAGCTAATTTCAGTTTTGGAAAATGGAAGTAATCACATGGAGAAAAGTCAGGAGAATGTTGGAGCAGACTTGTTTTTTCGCCAAAAATGAATAGGTCTTTAATATTAAATAGTTCCTTAATATTGAATAGGTCCTCTTTAACCTCCTTAAGGTCCATTCTTAATATTGACAGATGAATTGGTCCAGCCTATGCTAGATAGGCTCCTGTGATCCGTAGAACAACTCCTTCAACTTTCCGCTTTTATAGACGCGAAAGACTATTTATAGAAATAACGAAAAAAAATCCTCCATTTCTCTTTAAAATTTGCTTCCTAAGTATTCACTCAAGAGAAAAATAATATGAACTTGTCTACACTAAATCGCGTTGAAAATGCAGCAATGCCGCCGCTTCTCACGGAACTGGTTGCACAATATCGAGCGCATCATAATTTCAGATGGTCCCGCTTCGACAATTCAATAAAAAATAATTTCTATCTGGTAGTGATCCCTCGTTAATACACGCGGCTAGCAAGAAAGCAAACGGACCTTCTTGCTCTTAATTAAATCCGCTCGAGCGAGCGTTCCGCGTGGTTTTGCACGGACGCGTTCCGCGTCAAATTACGTCAGGGACGCGGCGAAATACCGTCACGCGGAAAGCATCGACCGTATCCAGGTCGGCTAATGGGCAAATTGCTAAATCCGAAACTTTCACTTCGCTCGATCTATTATATGCCCTCGTCGAGAAAAAGCTTCCCTTTAACGCTAAAATGCACGCTTATCCCTTTTACAATGATGTACTGTGTGTCTCACAAACTCTGTTCGCTTTGATATAATTTGCAAAAATTATCATCGTTTCCAAAAATACGGGTATGAAGGTAGGTGCATTTGTCCTGAAGGTTACCATCGCTGAGATATTTTACTATTTTCAGTCTATTACTTTCATCAAGGAACGTATTCGAGACTGCGACGCACGGCTGCCAACATTTCGGACAAGCTTCATGAAAAAACTCAAATATCTCGGCACCGGTAAGTTTGAGGACAAACACACCTCGGCACTTTCATACGAATACGTAAATCCATTGAAATCGGTCGTAAAAATTGGACATTTGGAAACAAAGGTGACATCTACACCTCCAAGACTGTTCATATTATGTAGTCTTGAACTACAACTGTACCGGTGTTGTTTGAAATAAGCGAAGTATTTAAGCGGACAGAGTTTGTGAAACGCTCTGCATAGTACTATAATACTTTTTGGACCATCTTTCTCCTTTAACGTCTTCCTATATCAGTACTGGTAACAGAGTTTACTCAGTCACGTTAATCAACCTGTATATTTAACCCCTTGCACTATAATTTATTTGTCAGGTGTGTCAGCCAGAACTAACCAATCACGGCTGCAATATTAAAACAGATAAAGGAAGTTGAAGTGTTATGTCAATTTGGTATTATGCAATCGTTGACTATGCAAATTATAATGGGACTTGAACTCCAAATTGAAGCGTATTAAAAATTCGAGTGAAATTGATCACGGTTGAAGTATGAGTGCGTCCATGAGTGCATCACTAGTGCGAAGTATTTAAGCGAACGATATTTGTGAGACGCTCTGTATAGCAATATATGGCGAAATACAGTGCATTGCATAAACACTACAACCATGTTCTCAGTGATCCTAGCTTCTGACAGGAAATTATGGTCTGTATTCCTCAAATACTAATTCGTACAGTGTAATTCTGCAGTAGAAAGTTCACGTATTAACGCAAATATTAAGGGATACATAAAACCTGATGTTGAAACGTTTCATAAATAAACGAGGTAATATAATAAAATTATGAAGTTGGTTTGTTCATTGAGTTAATTTAATAGAATTATGAAATTGTTCGATTAATATAATGTTATAGGTTAATATAATAAAATAATGAAGTTGATATGTTCACTAAATTAGTAAATAAAATTATGAAGCAGTTAGTCTAATATAATATATTATAATAGATAAATGTAATAAAATTATGAAGCTAGTACATTAAAATTATGCAGCAAAAATTTCCGTTGCAATAATAAAAATATTTATAAGTATTCAAATTAGAAGCCGATTGAACAAAATCATTTTAACCTTTCGACACACTTTGACGAGTCTGACAAGTACCACTCTAGCTGTGACAAATCTCCTTCGAGTATTTAATTCGAATTTGGAGTTCAAGTCCAGCCACAATTTGCATAATCTGAATATAAAGCTGACATAACATTTCAACTTTCTTTATTCATTTTAATATTACAGCAGTCTACACTTAACGCTGACGACAAATAAATCGTACAAGCGTTTAATC